TGTGAAGATCTTGAAGAATCGCGTCTCGGTTTTGGGGGAAGTATTCCTTAGTACTTTCGAGTCTCGCCCGAGCCTTACTTAGTTAGATTCTCACCACCTTTTTAGAGTAGGAAATTTTTTTAGGGGTCTAGAATAGATAGATAGTTAAGTTTGTTCATCGCACCTTATATTGATGAACTTTGAGAGAGGTCCCCCAATTCACATTTTTGGGACCACAGTTTTTTTTGGTAACACTCATTCTTGAGTCATTCCCCACCCTTTTTAGTAGATCTTGACACACTGTCAATGATCATTAGGTATTCATTTCTAGCCTCTACCTAAGGTGCAATCTCTAAGCCTTGAAGAAAACAAACAAATGAAGAAAAACTGGAAAAGCGAAGCCACAAAAAGAAGCAATAAAATAAGAAGATTCGAAGAGACAACAAAACCAAGAAAAAAATTTGAAGAAAAGGAGCAGCACAAAAAAAAGAATAAGAGATCAAGTGAAGATTCAAGCTCATGTTTTCTAGTAAAAAAAAATAAAAAAAACGACAAAAGACGGAGAGAAGAAGTTCAAGATTGAAAACTTAGGTTGTCTTATGTCTAGTTCTCAGATTGAGTCATTTTTATTTTGTTTTCTTTTTATTTCGGATTTTTTGTGAGAAAGGCTATGAAGGTGAGACGGTAGATCGTAGATAGTACAAGGGAGAGACCTTTGAAACCGGATGTTTTCCCGGAGGTCGTTGCTTCAAAAACTCTATTTCTTTATTATACACTTTGGCCTGACAAATGTAGGAATCATCGTGTATGGGGGCATCTTTCCTTCATGAATTATGATCTGCATTGGTGATTTAAAGTGCCCCAACTGGGCGCATCCCATGTTTCCTTTGTCTAGCACGTTCTGATGGCTGCCACATCCAGACGAAATCTATTCGCACATCAAGTGGTTCGGGAATGTGATTTATGGTTCTAAAGTGGGGAACACTCGTAGGACACATAGGGTCCATGCAAGGCTGACTCTTACCATGTTGACTAATCTTGACCAGGTTATATGGTTCAGTCCATTCTTTTTATTTTTCTTAGGATAGTTCATCCTAGGTTCATTTTAGTCTTGTCTTACTTGAGGACAAGTAAGGTTTAATCTTGGGGTGATTTGATAGCTTCATTTTACTACTTCTTTTCCTAGTTTATTTTAGTTCATTCCATCTCATTTTAGTTAATCTTCATGCCTATTTTCTCTTTTTGTTATTTTTCACCTTTATCGGGTACTTTCTAGTCTTTTGAGCTTAATTGCAAGCTTTACCAAAGAGTATTTGACATGGAGGAATGGAAGGAGTGTGGGACCTTTGGAAGCTTGCGGTTTGCTTGTGGAATTAAAGTGGTGCGATTGGGCCTGATGTCAACATAATCAAAGGAGCAAGTTGGGCTTAATATTAGATGAAGAATGATGATGATGTGAAGAGAGTTTTGAGCTATAGAAGATCAAGAAAACAATGGGCCATCTTGGGAGAGTTAGGAAGACATAATTGGGCTATCAAGAACTTATACATATGGGTTGGACCAAGAACCAAAGGAGCAATCTAGAAGGACCATTAAATGGGCCAAATAGCCCATTCAGCAGCACCCACGTGGTCCGTGTGGAACCACAAACGGTCCGCATGGATTGCGTTGTGAAGGACCCGAATTTTTGCATTAAGCCTCTATTTGGGGAAAGTTGGTGGGATCCTTTTGGGTAACTTTTGTATCTGACTTTTGACCATTTTTTACTGGAGTTTAGAAGGGAAGGAAGACAGAACTCTTAGGAGATAGAATACATTTTGCTCTCTAGGAAGAATTGAAGATTGGTGGATTTCTTTCATCTTTCAATCTTGAACAATGTTTGGTATCTTTAAACTACTTTGTTTTTCTTTAATCTTGGCCATGTTAGGCTAGATTTATGTTTGGTTTATTATTGTTTAACCCATGGATGATTAGTTGCTTTGAAGACTTCATATTATCTTGTGTTTGAAATTTATGGAAATGTTTTCTAGTCAAACATCTTCTTATTTTTTATTTGTCTTTGATCATGAGCTTGGATAAATGAATGTTTATTTTGTTGGCTAATTTCTTGGTTAAGTAATAAACCCTCAAATTAGTAAGCAACAAATGGCTTATATGTTTGTTTTCATTTCATTTAAACTATGGAAATGTTTCCTCCATAATGATAATGTAAGCATTTGATTATCTTTGGGACTTGGCAACTCTTAAAACTTAATGCTAATTGATTTTCACAAAATTACATGCTTCATTGGTTTTGTGACTTTGATTAAGAAAATGTGTTTTGAGCTCATCTAACCATTTTAATTATAAAGAAGAGTTGAGGTGATTTGTGCTTATGAATTGCTATATCCAAGTTAAATTAAATCACAAGTGTTGTTCCATTTTGTCTAATAATAAGTTAATTAAGAAATCCATGTGGTGTATTCCAAAAATCAACCAACTTCCCTTCATTTATTTTAAATCAAACTCTAGTTTTTGTTGAATTGTCTATTTAAATCTTAGTCTAACTCTAGTTTTATTTAAAGTATTTCAAAAGACCAAAACCCCCATCTTTACTTTTATTGTCATTTTACAAGCATTTTTACAAAAAAATTTTCATAGAGTTATAAAATTGAACCAATCTCCGTGGATTCGACCTCTTTACCATTATACACTATTTTGTATGCTAGATTTAGGGTTATTAATTTTGTTGGCATCGACAACCACCATTCTTACATCGTTAGTACAATAGTACAAGTTCCTACATTGTTAGTACAATAGTACTATTAAATTTGTGACATCCTATCATCATTTTCATCTTTCATCGTGCTATGGCATCTTATCATTTTTACCTTTCATTACCCTTCATTACCCAATAGATTATATTCATAAAAATATATACAGTATAAATCATACAAATTTATCTTTATAACATTTCATCTAACACAGAATATCTTTGCACATAAGCATATATAGCATTCAATTATCTAAATACTTAATATCTATGTGTAAGATGAAAGTAAGTATGCACTCACTTGATATAAGTGGATGACTCAAGAATTTGGCAGTGCTCTACCTAACACCTAGACTCTTCCCTTGATGTGACCTAGGTACGAATGTCACTAAGTCTTAGTCTTATAAAACTGGTGACTAATGATAGTCTATATTCCTCACTAACACCACTGTCTACATCAAGATCTTTCTAGTAAGGAACAACCAGGTAGGATCGTATCGGAGGTAGGGTTCGTTTGATATACAGAGTGTACTGTTTGGAAATCCTACTTTAAACACCTCATTAAATCCAGCCTAGACACCACTCTCGTAAGTAGACTAGTCAGTATAATGACTTGGAATCACTGATAAATCTTATTTATAAATTCATAACAATGAATATAAATATAAATATAAGTTACACCAAAAGCGATATGAGTGTAGCTTAACTTACAAAGATTTTCTAGCAAAAACCGGGAGATTGTACTGGAAGAACTCCTACTCGAAAGCTTCTACTAGTCGAGCTTCTAGCTACCATAGAGCCTGGATAAAATTCAGAAGTCTAGAAAATTTGGAGCTTAAGAACCAGAGAGTTTTCAGAGAGAGATAAGAGAGTTTCGGATGAGAAATGAAGAAAATTTAAGGGGTATTTATAACCGGATAGGCACACGCCCCGCCGAGAAGAGGCGTGCCACGCAAGTCGAGCGACGTTGATCCTGCCCCTTTCTGCCACATGTAAGGTCCACGCATAGCTATCGATGAGATCTACAACTTCCGTTTAGATTTCGTCGGCTAATTATCATTTTATTTTTAAAGTTATATTTTTAACAGACTTAGAGTGTTAAAGTCCATGTAAAAATCATAACTCTTACATACGACATCCGTCCTCGACTGTTTTTATGTCGACAGATAGGTATTGATGAGATATTCAACTCTCGTTTAGATTATTTTCCTAACAATCGACCGATCTTAATTTCGGTTTCTATGTCGCATACTATTGCGCTGAAACTTCGAAAAATCATAACTTCCTCACATGAAGTCGGATTTGGACGTCCTCTATATGCACGCTCTCAGTTTAACGACTACTATAACTTTCATTTAGATTATTTGTCCTAAATAATCTTCTATCAACAAAATATGTTTATCGGCATGATGAATAATTATCTTATTATTCTTTAATCGTCTAGAGCCCTATGTTGTGTCTATTACATGTAAGGATATTAAAATGAGTCTTTATTATTGTTTATTTATTAATATTTTAAATTAATCACCATAAAAAACCATTTGTATTACTTTAGTTTATATATTCAATGTGTAAAATTAATGAAATTTTTTTAAAAAAATTTAATATTGATGTATATTTTTTTATAATCACTACCAAATCGTTATTTTTAACATATTATGACATAATGCTAACAAATATTAATAATACGTATCATTATTATTTAACAAAATCTTCTAAGTACTAAATGCTAAATAATTTTTAGTTGAAATTTTATGAGTTTTAATATTAAAATAATACTTAGTACAAATAGTAACTTTTTTTATTTTTAAAAAATAAAAAACTAACTTTATTACTTTTTGTAGTTTTTTAAGGATCATATTAGAAGATGAAAGACTTAATATATTAAGAGTTATTGTCATTGTAGCCCAACAAACTTTAGTATATCGGTTTAAATGGTCTCTCGTAACTATTTTTTGCATTTGAAGGGCACAAACTTGTATTTTTAGGTTTTAAAATGTCATTTTGAAAAATTTGAAGGGGTTACCCGGTGACCCCATCCTAATCATCAGTTTGCAAATGACACGTAACTAATCCACCTCATCTCTCTCTCTCTCTCTCTCTCTCTCTCTCTCTCTCTAGACAGTAGCCACTTAATATATCTTGTTGGCAACGACCTTGTACCCACCACCTTCTTCTTCTTTGTCTTCATCCATCTCTGTTGCAGACTGTGGTCGTTGTTGTGTTTCTTGAAGCGTCGCCGGAACCCGCCATTGTTGTTGTGGCCAAGCTACAATCGGAGCTGTTTGGGTGACAACGCTAACCAGAGTGGAAAAAGCTTGCCATTCAATGGATTCCTAGAGCACACGATTATATCATCTATCCATGTTTGTTCTTCCAAATTCAGAATCAAATCCTCCAATCCATGCCCCTCGAATGCAAATGATGTTTCTTCATAACCATCATCAACGTTCCTGTCATCATCCACCACCATATAATACACCATCATCCCTTCCTTCTTTGCAGCTGGTGGATCATTTCCCTGCATTTCCATAAACACGTGGTGTGCATCACAACAAGTGAGGCAAAATCGCAAATCCAAATGTGTAGCAATGAATGATGATTTGAACGAACCTCAGTAGGGCCAGATATGGAGCTTCTAAGAGAAAATGAGGACGAATTTAGATTTGGGTTTATCGATTCGAATAAGGGCGACGACGACGATGGTTCCTCTGGTCTAGCTTCCATAGTTTCAATATCCCACAATATCCAATCATGATGCCTGTAAGGAATGTCATGAGTAACCGAATTTCTCCATGGAGGCAACCCACCATTGGCTTGTAGATAATTTCTGTAACGGGTTTTGAGACGAACTTGAAACCCGTCTCGTATTGGTTCCCATTCGATTGAGGAGTCCAGCCTCTGGTGCATACTTTGAACGACTTTCCGACCAGTGAAACCGATGATTACTTGATCTTCAGATGCGGTGAGATACTTCCCATAACTAGACTTCAATTGGAGGACATTGTCGAATCCTTCAACAAATTCAACCATCCAAATGCCTTTCTTTGTTGTTTCATTACGATCTTGTAGCACACTTTCGTCGTTGCTCTCTGCCAAGATGTACTTGTCATGGTGGCTCTTTAGTCGGACCGATTTCGCCTTCCTGAACAACTCCATTCCGCTACTCTGAGATAGTTATTTACTGTTATTTTTCGATTAAAGAGATGAGAAACAGATCGTGCAATCACAAGAAAGAGTGGGTTTGAAGATTAGTTCCACTTCCACAAGATTGAAACTTAAGCAAATTTACATAGGGGTGAACATGAACTGGGTGAACATGAACTGGGTGACAGCAGAGGTCAGAAGGGGCGGTGGAACTCAGCTTTCAGGCCTCTTTGTTGTTTGCACGTTACGACAATGGAGCTCAAGTTTGTGCAATCATAACCCTGGTAATGTATTCTATTGTTATGGAGTTTGAAAGAAATGAAATAAAACTAAACTGATAAATTTATAAGTCAATGTTGACTCACATGCTTACTTGACACTTCACAAAGCAATGTTACCTTCTAATGTGGGTAAAAGTACCAAAATGACCAGTAAAATACAAGTTCGTACCTTTTAAATGTAAAAAAACCACGATGGACCATTTAAAACCATTATACTAAAGATTGTTGGGCTATAGTGACAATAACTCATATATTAATACAATAGATCAATGCAATAAATCAATGTAATTAATCAACTTTTCACTTATATTCAAGCCCGTTTCAGATGGTGGACGATAAGGGCGACCGTCTAGGGCCCCATCTTTTAAATGAGTTCAAAGTTTTTATGGACTTTATTATATATATGTATCAATTATTTAGGGATTATGTATGTATAAATTTTTTGTAATAAAAATTGTTATATGTAGATGCTAGTACAAATAATTCTCTTTCAATTATTGAGTTATTATAAAAAAAATGATGAAATATATATATTTTAAGAGCATTTTATTCTCTTTCGTCCTGGGTTCAAAATATATGTGAAACGATCACACTTATATCTTTTGAGTTGCACTTAGTTAAAATCTTTGTTTAAAAAATAAAATGTTTTAATGTTAAAACAATAATTCATTGTTATTAACTTAGTTAATTAGCAAAAAGTCTAAAATAGAAATTTTGCATAAATACATATATATGAACCGGACAATGTTTTCATTTTATTATATTTAACATTGTTGATGAAATTTTATTATTGTTTATTTTATTATGATATTAAATTAATAAACTTTTTATTTATGGAAATATTTAAGATATTTATTAGCAATAAGCCTAAAAAGGAATATTTTATATATTTTACTACTAGTCTCATTATTCTCATTATGGTTTACTTATTTATATATTAAGTTAATCACCATAAAATTTTTTTCATATTATTTTATTTTATTTTATGTTAAACCTATTTATCTTATAACAATTCAAATAATATGATTACTTTTTACGACACTGGTTGAATTTTCTTATTTTTCAGCTCTCAAAAATTAATATACAACTATTTGATCGTTTTTCTTATTTATTTCTAATATCAAAATAATAATATATTATGAGTTAAAAAAGTTCATAGATCTAATTAAACATCATCAACTTTTATTATTATAAGAGTTATAATTTCGGAACTTCAACTATAACAGTTGTCTATTTTATGTAGTACAAGATAATAACAATTTTTACACAACCTTTTGTTTTAATATATACTAGGTGTGAGACCCGTGTATTACACGGGTTTAATAAAAATAAAAATTTAATATCAATATATAAACATGAAATATTTTATACAGTAATACTTTACATAACAGAATGTAATCTTTTAAAACATTTGCAAAAGAAATTAAATCGTTTGGAGTATTTATGAGAATTTATTATCAAATTAATAGGATGATTTTATTTCCTTATAGAACCTATTACAATTTTATGGAATTTTATTTTAAGAAAATAGAAATCCCTAAAAAATGACAAGTGGAAAATAAAAATTCTAAAACTCTCACAAAATGACAAGTGTCAAAATGAAGGAGAAGATGACATGTGGCAAAAAAAAAAAAAAAAAAAAAAACCTTCATTTATTAGATAGGAAAAGTTGTTATGGAATAGCTAATGACAATTACTTAAATATTTTTAGCGAAATATATTATAAGTATATGAAATAGCTTCGTGGCAGGAGTGGGAGAGACGTCTTGGATTGGTGATGAATTGTTGATATGTTAGGCTTATCATGTGACATGTGTGCTGACTCATGGGGTTTGATTTGTAGGATGAAACGTTATCCAATCCTTCCCAAGTGTCGTGGAGTTATCGTCAGTAAAATCGAACCGCCCTCTTTCTCTTTGGGTATATAGTATTTTATATTTATATATAGAACATGCAATGCAACGAGGATGGAGAATTGGAGGATGCATCATCGCTCACACATTTTATTTTTCGGAGTTTGAAAGCCAAATTGGTAATTCCTTCCCTTAATATTTGTATCGTAAGGTATGTTCCACTCTCTACTCTCTTCCCTTCTCTTACCATAAACATACATCCGCTTAAATCAAGGTGTTTTCGTTTTAAAGGTTCTTCTATAAACAAAGTTTGCTTTTGCTTCCATGTAAATGTAAAAATTCATTTTTTTAGAAATCGTAAATCGTTTACAATTGGCTTCTATAAAGCGGATGTTTCAACTAACTCGTGCATAATCAAGTAAAGTTACCCTATTAATATTATTTTTAGCCATTGATTATTCTATATTTTGATGTTTAACTTGACTTTAACCGGATATAGAGGGTTTTCAACTTTTATTAAAAGTAAATTATATTAAAAACCATAATAGTTTAGTATTTTTTTTCAGTTTAACCACGTGATGATATTTTTTATGATTTATAACCATAAAAACAATACCTTTTTTCTACCTAAAATTCACCAGTCACCATAATATACAAAAATTCATATTCATATTCTATTTTATTGCATCGTCAATTTTGGAATAAAAAAACTAAAAGAGTCTTTGCATAAGATACAAAGAGTCGTCACATAAGTGTGTCCTTGACCTCCTATAATTCATATTCGATTTATGTGTGGAAAATTTTGGAAAAATTAACTTGTAAAGCTGAAAAACTGGAAGATAAAAATTCTTAATGACTCATTGAAACTGTTTTTGGATTATAAATATATTGTTTCATATAAAAAGCTCAAAAAGTGGAAAATAAAAGCTCGCAAAAAGCTCATTGAAGTAACTTTTAGTTAGGAGCATTTTGTTTCAAATAAAAATTAAAGCAAAAAACTTAAAGCTCGTATTGATTTTTTTTCCGAGTTTTTTCTTAAAGCTCCTAAGATCTATATGCCAAACATAATAAATTCCAGAAATTAAAATTAAAAATCTATGCGTTTTGTCTTTGTTATGGTGGGTTCTTTTTAGAAAAGTGAAGTTTTTGTGGTTAAACGATAGAAAATGTGTTAGGATTATAAAACCAAAAAACGCAAAACTGGAGTAGTTTTCTATATTTTACCTTAGAGAACCACATTTACCAGGTTACACTGATTTTTTTTAAAATAAATGTTTTAGAATTAAATAAAATATTTGGAGGGTTAAACCAAAAAAATTCTGAAACTACAATGATTTTGATATAGTTTGCTCTTTAAACAAACATACATTCCTAATTTAAACTTAATTAAAAACTTATATAAGTAGAAAAACAGATGAAAAAAGTCCAAAAAATGTATCCATCATTTTCTACATGTTTTCATTTGCCATTTATGTAAACTCTAGATGTTTGTATTTTTTTTTTTTTTTGCATGATTTTTTCGGTTTCTATGGTACAAACTACATACAATCATATGTGATTTTTACCTATAAATTTATATATTAGTCGATTTAAGTTCTCTTTATCAAAATAAAAAGAAGCTAAAAAACAGATCAGAAATTGCCTAAAGTAATTGTAATTAATACATTACTTTAAATTGCTTTAATTAAACAATAATAAACTAATAAAAACTTATAAATAAAAAAAATAAAAATCAAGATATCAAATTGCACCACATAGCAATGTACTTATCTCGTAGTATCAATATAGTCAACACTCATCACACTTTAATTTTTTACTCAGTATAACACCCAAGTTACATCGTGTTACCTTGTATAGTAATAGCATATATTGTTGCAAAGACAAGTATACCCCCATCAATTTCAAGATGCAGACACCAACAAACATAACCATAAAGGGTATTCTGGGTATTTTAATGTCATGTCTTGATGAGATGAACAAGAACAGAGTAATCTCTTTAGGAATGGGAGACCCAACTGCCTATTCTTGCTTCACCACTACTGATCTTGTTCAAGATTCTGTAGTTCAAACTCTTGAATCCCACAAATTCAATGGCTATTCACCTACTATTGGCCTCCCACAAACACGAAAGTAAGTTTTCTTTTACATAGTTTTTTCAAATTTTTTTTTTTTAATCTTAGTTTTGTTCTTTCTTTATGTTTATTTTCAGGGCAATATCGGAATATTTATCGAAAGATCTCCCGTATAAACTAACCCCTGATGATGTTTATATAACAGCTGGCTGCACACAAGCTATAGAAGTTGCTATATCGATTCTAGCTAAACCAAATGCAAATATTTTAGTTCCAAAACCAGGATTCCCAATTTATGAACTTTGTGCAGCTTTTAGAAATGTAGAAATTCGACATTTTAATCTTATTCCAGAAAAAGGATGGGAGGTTGACTTGGATGAAGTCAATGCATTGGTAGATCAAAATACAGTCGCAATTGTTATCATAAACCCTGGGAATCCTTGTGGCAATGTCTACACTTATCAACATTTAAAAAAGGTAATTACTAAATATAATATGCATATGTAATTCCATACCAAACAGACCCTTAAAGGTATTGATTTGAGGTTCATGTTAGATTGCAGAAACAGCAAAGAAGCATAAGATTCTTGTTATAGCAGATGAAGTTTATGGGCATTTAGCTTTTGGGGAAAACCCTTTTGTGCCTATGGGTGTTTTTGGGTCAATGGTTCCTATTCTTACACTTGGTTCTTTGTCAAAAAGATGGATAGTCCCAGGTTGGAGGCTCGGGTGGTTTGTTACAACTGATCCTAATGGCATCTTCAAAATGCTAAGGTACTTAACACTTTTTTTTTAAATTATAAATATTTTGAATTGCAAAATAATCTTTCTTGTTTTCTCAGAACATTGAGCGCCTAAAGAAGTACTTTGATATATGTGGTGGTCCAGCAACCTTCATTCAGGTGCTTCTTTTGTGTTTCTTTCCACATTTAACACTTTGTGTAACTTCCACATGGTGCACCTTAAGTTGTCACCTAACTTCCATTTTCATAAGTTTTTGAGATTTAAAAATGATTAAAAAAAAGATTTCTAATGTTTCAGGCAGCTGTTCCTCGGATCCTTGAGGATACGAAAGAAGTGTTCTTTACAAAAACTCTTAGCATACTGAAGAACACTTCAGATATTTGTGTCAGGAAAATTCAAGAAATCCCTTGTTTGACATGCCCACAAAAACCACAGGGAGCTATGGCTGTTATGGTAAGGGTTTAGGTGTTTTGGTTTAAATCTAATGGTAAATACTTTAAAGTTTTGTTAAAAATGTTTCTTTTGTTTTGTGTGTTGGTTTGTGTAGGTTAAACTGAATGTTTCTTTACTAAAAGATATTAGTGATGATATTGACTTCTGTTTCAAGCTAGCTAAAGAAGAATCCGTGATTCTTCTTCCAGGTGAGATTACAACCCTTTTGTAACATATTGTGGACTTTTATAATGAGCTCATAAATGTCCCTTTTTGGGTTTTGCAGGTCTTACTGTAGGTTTGAAAAACTGGGTTCGTGTAACTTTCGCTGCAGATCCATCTTCTCTTGAAGAAGCTCTTGATAGAGTGAAGTCTTTTTGCCAAAAGCATTCTCATCAACATAAGGTTCATATTGATTTAGTATAACATAATTCAAGCAATACATATTTTTTTACTTCATAGTCAGAGTCCATGTAAATATGTAATTACTTTTGCTCACTTGATGTTATTCTGTTAGTAAAATGTACAGCATGTGTCCTTGAATTTAAATGTGCGTGCTTTTATGCGCACAAAAGGTATAAAGAATTGACCCATCACATGTTCATTGATCGTGCTTTTGTTAATCCAATCATGGTTTATATTTGTTTAATCACTCAAATATTGCATCAAGAAATATTGAAAGAAAAACTTGAGGTAAATTAACATGAGAGCAATGAAGATCTAATATAAACAGAATAGCAAAAACATTCCCCCAATCAAGATCCCACCAAAGTAATATGTTTTTGATAATAAAGCGGAGAGATCCATGTTTCTATTCTGATCCATACCCGTAGTATATCAGGCTATCAGAATAATTAAGCATAAGAAAGATGGGTTACCTATTCGGCAACACTTACAAGCTCATACTCCACAAGAGAAAGATTGTTGTCCTCTTTAACTTCAAATGTGACAGGATCAGTTACCTCAATGCGACCCCACCTGTCAACAGCAAGCCTCATCGAGCCCTTGAACATGTCAATCTTTCCATTTCGAATGATGACACCAGCACCAGGTTTCATAAGATCAACTGTAAAACAGAATGAGCAAAGATTGTTATACAAAGTTGCTTCTTGTTTCTTATCTCCAAATTTTTTTCTCTAATAACTTCTATGTAGTTATCCGCAGACTTGAGAGTTAGAAAATGGCTCAATTGACCCTACAAAGTCAACAGTTGACTACAAAATGTGGTAGTAAGTAGTAACACAAAGAAACAAACTCAAAACAACAGCCATGTCATGGAAGTGAAGTTTCGAATCACGGTTTGCTAAACATGAACGGTAAACCATGAAATCATGCCTAGGGTTTAAAAAGTCACATCATCACAAATGAAAATAGAAACTCAAAACGATCGGTCGTAGCATTAACACAATATGATCCGATCGCTCTATTTTCTAGGGTTTTGCAACACAGAAATAATAATAAATAAAAAAAAAACAACGCGAGGTTACCTTGATCGTTGCGAGCAGTGAAGAGAATGGTTCCGGTTTCATCACCGACGAGACATTCAGCAATGCGAACATTACGGAGATTAGGAGACACAGCACGTCCCTTCTGCAACACAATTTCGGAGCTAAGCACCTTGGCAACGAGTGTCAGACCTGTAGTTCCCGGTTTAAGGTTATCGACCTTAGTAAACACCGGCTTTCGAAGAGCTGGTTTAACCGGAGCCGACGATCCTTGAGCCTCTGAGTTGTTTGTAGCCATCGGAACAGTGGTGGATGTGAATTCAACGAGCGATCGTAATCGTATCTCCGACGGGGCTCTGATCGTTTCCCTTTCAAACTGCTGTTACTGCACTGCATATTTGACGAATCTTTACGCAACTACTATTTCGGGAACCTCTCCATTTCCCGACCCTTTTCGTCTTCCAGTGCTATATTTAGATACATGGGCCTATGGATCCATACGAACATGGCCGGGTTAAACCATTATAGTTTTTCTATTTTTCTTATTATGAGTATCATTAATTAATAATTTATTTTCAACCTTTTATTTAAACTCTCAACTTATATATATATATATATATATATATATATATATATATATATATATGGGAAAAAGGAATATACATTACAGCCCCACCTAAGCTTAGGTACTAAACCTCTTGAAAATACATTGTTTTACTATATAAAGATTACGGTTAATGGATTCACGATTAATACTTCAAGATGTAAATTCAAGATCGAAACAATAGGGTTTAGGGTTTAGGTTTTAGGGTTTAATGTTTAGGTTTAGGGTTTAGATTTAGGGTTTAGGGTTTAGATTTAGGGTTTAGGGTTTAGGGTTTAAATTTAGGGTTTAGGGTTTAGGTTTAGGGTTTAGTAATGTTCACTTGGGTGATGTAATAAACGATAATTGAGGAAAGAAAACAGAGATGGTAAAATGATAATGAAAGAAATAAATGTTATGGATGATGATATATTTACCAAGTGAAACCAAACCGAGTATATTTAGCATGTTAAAACGTCATATTTTAAAAGTTTAGTACCTAAGCTTAGGTGGGGCTGTAATGTATATTCCCTATCCCCTATATATATATATATATATATATATATATATATATATATATATATATATATATATATATGAATTACATGTAAGACATATTGGATTTACATGTGAATCACATGTAATTCATTTGTGATTTACATGTGAATCACATGTAATTCATATGTGAATTACATGTGAATCACATGTAATTCATATGTCATTCACTTGTGATTGTTTTTTATACCATTTGCATCACAAAAATCTTTACCACATAAAACTAAATATGACAGGTTAGGATCAGCAGCAATAAGTCCATCTTCTACTTCATTTCCAAGACTAATGGCATCCATACCACTCAACCTGAAAAATGTCAAAACATTATCTAACAATAGTTAGTACTTAACAGATCTAAGTTCTTCACAATATCACACAGAATTCAGAACCAGATTAGCCAATCATAACAACTAATTAACCATATCATACCAATAAAAACATATATTTGTCCACTATGAGAACCATATTAACGAGTGCACTATACTTTTATATGAATCAAATATGCATTAGTATATTTATGATTCACATTAAATTCATCACTGCCAACACATAAATAATAGAGATCCATTTAGAAAAATAGGACCTATTATTTTTCAAACTAAAAAATAAAGCACCAATAACATATGTTGAATTTGTTGAAAACTTGCATTCTTCTAGAGAACGTAGTAGCAATTGATGGTTTGAAACTGTTGTTCCATAAAAACAGAGTTGATTTAATATACATAAGAGTTTCCATGTGAAAAATTCATAACGGAAGTTCTTTGAAGTGTAACCTATTCTTTTTCAAACTCAAAAATAAAGCACCAATATTTTATAACATTAATATTTTTGTTTAGAAATCGCATTATATTGTTCTACACAAATTTCAAATATATCTATTACTTTTGGTATAAAAAAATAAGGATCCTTCCAAGGCCATCAAAATAGACTAATTTGTATAAAAAATACATCAAAATGGACATATTTTATACATGTGAATCTTGAAATTTTGTTTCTAGTGTTAAAAAAGATAAGGAAATTGGTATAAAAGGATATAAGTGATTCATCTGTACATGCATTGTTTCATCATCAAACTGATAGTACTATTACCATATCTAAAACCCACATCACACAGATACACACACTGAGTGTGTGACATAAATGAAATATGCAAAGAGGGTTTTAGTTTTAGGTAGTTACCTGTGAGATTTGAGAATAAGGAAAAGCAAAGGAATTGGAGAGATAGTTGAAGTAGAAGGAGGTGGGCGAATCGTTAGATTACTCAGAAGAAAAGATCGACATAGCAAAGTCTGCACATCAAAGGGTCCGAGGGATCGGCGTGTTCGTTTATCAGCCAACACAGCGATACAGTTTTATGATGTTCAAGACAGGCTTAGGTATGATCGACCCAGTAAAGCTATTGATTGGCTGATGAAGGAAGCGAAACTTGTCATTGATGCGCTCGAGAATGATCACCATGAGCATGAGTTGCTTACATTTGTTGTCGATACCTCTGAGGCATTTCATCGAACAGGTGGTGAGCGGAACAAGGAGATCTCCACTCTCGCAAAAATCAGTGGTTTTAATGACTACCCAATGGGGCTAATCGATTCAAGCAACAAAACCCAGGAAAAATCGATCGAAGAAGAAGAAGAAGCTATAACCCCGATGGATTTCACATGGAATCTGAGCTACGATTCGGAAGATGGCTTTGCGTTTGTTGATAGGGAACCCCTTCAGTCCAGTTATCCTACACCCATCCATACATTCAACAATGTGTTTGTAGATGATGAAGAGTTTTTGGGATTTAATTTTCAGCAGGAAAATCATCTTCAAGAGGAGGAAAATTGCAACCTTGGAGTAGGAGATGAGGCGGAGATCAATCGTCATTGGTCGTGTAGGGTATACAGAGAGCTCGTCTATCCGCCGAAGGTACATAATCAGAAATCGGAAAATGCTATTGTGACATGAAAAAGGGTTCTGATCAGTTTATTCTATGGGTTCATTTTCTAGATCCCTAAAATACCCCCAATATCATTTTATTAATGTACCCTCGTCCTTTTATTTTTCCACTTATTTACAAAAATGTCACAATGCATCTTGGCCGTCCCATTTTTTTTTATCTAACATTCCACTTTTAGTTATCGGGTTCTCGAAAAACTATAAGTTCGCAAATGATCATTCCTCTCTCTCTCTCTCTATCTATATATATATATATATATATATATATATATATATATATATATATATAGGGTCCCGATCCTTGTCGGAATCGATCGAGGCGTGATATATTGTTCAAAGTCTCATGACAACTATGTTATAATATGATTAGATTCAATTAAGTACTAAGTATGCAAACAAGATCCACAACATACAAATACAAATCCAAATACGAACAACATTTATTACATCAAATTTAAATAGTCTTGTGGATTTCTAAGGCACAACCTATTTTTCATCAACTTCATTCTTCAAATCTGCATCATGGGTAAAAACAGGTCAACTACGAGAGTTGGTGAGTAATCTAATTTTAGTAGAGAAAATTGTGAAGTTGAAATCTTTATAATTGGAAATTTGTTTTCTTTTGAAGTCGGCAAACAATTGTATTTGAGATAACGGTTTATAAATCAAAAATTGATTAACAAATGATAACAACAACAATAAGTCCTCACCCTATATATACATATGTATATATATATATATATAATATATATATATATATATATATATATATATATATATATAGGATGGAGCATCTAATCATCATACACACTCAACCACGTGCGATCAATCACCTTAGCGTCCCAAGGCGGGGTGGTCAACCCAATAGCGCTATTATTGTCCATAACGTACCTCAAGAATACGGGCATAGTCATGGAGATTAGACTAAAAATGATAATGCACTACAAGTACATGTAGCGTAAACAAACAATAGTTATACAATTAATGACTCACGTATAAATGTCCCAACAATGTCTCAATTGTGATAAAACAATAAAATGAAGTTGGAACATATTAGAACCACATGATACACCCCAAAAGTATTGAAAATTATAAAATATGGGGTAGATTACTCACTTTAGTCCCAAAACGAAATGCGTGTGTCGTACGATAGACGGTTCGAGTCAAAATGGCGTAGAACCTAATATAATTAATAGTTTTGGTTTAGGAACTGCTAAACGAGAATAGAGTACTAATACAAATAATTAGACACATATTCTTATATTAGATGAATTAACAATAATTCATTTTGATTATAATATTAAGGTATTCATTTGTTAAATGAATTTTAAATTGAATTAATTACTTTGCATAATTAATTTATATTTTCAATTTAGGCCAGATTTTAATAATTTCTTATTAAATAATAATTTGCCCAATTATAATTATTTACAGATTTTAACAATTATTTATATGAAATAATCATTAAAATGCATTTTTACATGCTTAAATACTTAGGAAAATGGTTTTAAATAGTAAACAGAATTGAAAATTTATGAAATTATTAGGAAATCATTATTTCATACAATATTAATTATTGTAAAATTTTTATATTTTTCTGAACTGTTTTAGTATTTATTAATACTTTAATGATTAAACAACAACAAAATTCGGGAAAAATAGTAAATGATTTCCACAAATTCTGTAAAATTAACCATAGTTTTATAACATGATATAGAGCCCAGTGTATAAGTTTCAGATATTTGTGACTATGGGAAGTATTTTTTATATATTTCATTATTAATTAATCAATAAAATCATAAATAATAGTAAACAGTAATATAAATGCATGAAACTTCATAAATTATGTTTAATCAATATATTAGTCATCCCAGAATTTTCTCAAAATTTATTGAATGCAAAAAGTATTTTATGTGAATTATTGCCCTACTTTATTGCAATAATTATAGTAATTCAATAAAAATAAGTTATTTTCTGAAAATTTCCAGAACTTCTTATTTTATTGATGGGATTCTGAGAAAAATCAGGTTTATGCATAAAATGAGTTTTAGATATTTTGGTGGATTTAATTTGTTTCTTGTATGAATATGAAACTTTTAACAACATACCTTGATGAATGCTTCAAGATGGATGAAGATTTGAGTATAATAGATTGTTCTTGGCTGGAATATGAGTATTTCTTGGATGAATTTCGAGATTGAGAGTGAGACCACGCGACTGACTTGGCGAGACAACGACAAACGAACAGCAGGCGAGATAGGCAGCGAATTGGGCAAATGGGGATGAATCGATTTTGATTTCTTGATACCGCTTGGTCGCTTGGAGAATTTGGAGTATTGGACAATTCTGATTAGGAATCGGGAGGGGCCAAAGCCCAAGTTTGAAGATATCAGGCTTATAACTATTTTATTTTGAACTACAATTCCTACTTCTAGCCCAAAAATCAGGAGGGGGCCACTGCCCCTCCTGGCCCCAATAATACTACGCCCCTGGAATCTATGATGGCTAGTGTAAACATTATGGTCATATATCATTAAGATTCTATGGATTTAGAATGTGTGATTTCGCCTCATTCCCTGTTTCTTGTTTGGTTGTGGGCTTAAGGCGGGGTCACCCATCCGAATGCCCTTGCAATCTTAATGATATACGACTAGTTTATGCCAAGCTACTATAAAAGAACTGGTAGAACTTATAATGCAAATTTCGTCAAAATTTGTTGAAACATAAGTAATGATGGAACTCGCTAACTACGTTATAAAATATTCATAGTGGTAATACCAAGGATAAAACAGGGAGTATAAAAGCACACATAGAATACTCTATCATCCCAAAACAATAAACTCCTTTTAAATCGACTCAGTTCAAGTTACAATAAGAAATTTCCAAGGTCGTTATGTGACATCAGATGGGTTATTCCTCACCAAAATTAATTTCTTGTACTACGAAACGTTTTCCACATCTTTTTCCAAACTCTTGAAGTCCCAGTCAAAATGCAAATTTCGGGACGAAATTCCCTCTAACGGGGGGGATGATGTGACAACCATCAAATTTCGGTCAAGTCAAAGTCAAACAAAGTCAACAAGTTAAACCGGTCAACTCCATTAACCCTTGTATGTTAGGGTTTACGTTATGTAATCACTGTACAATTCACTATTTTAATGAGAAAACATCATTTGGAAAGTTCATGTGTTTGATATTCTTTAGCCTTAACAGTGCTAAACAACGAACCAAAACGATAAAACACTATTGCACAATCATCGGGATTGTGTAGGACACTAAATCATGGCTTAACGGGGTCTATGGACCTTGCGTTGCGAAGCCGGACACTCAAAAAGATCACAAACGAAACCTCTCTCAATCTCATTCAAACCCTCCTCAAGATTACTTGACGCTAATAGGATCAAAACTCATACACTACGATATAAATTGACGTTAATAGCAACATAGTATAGTACAACGTTATAACTATAATCAAATTAAATTATGATACCATATTAAAATCAAATCAAAGTATAATGCTCTAATTAAATTTAAAAGAATCAAACTTGAATGCTATAATTAAACTTCAAATCAAAGTAGATTGTTATAATCAAATAATAACTCATCTTTTATAAAACTCCATTTTTATAAACTTTACATTAAATTTTATAAAACTCTATTTTTATAAACTTTACATTAAATTTTATAAAACTCTTATATTAATTATGTAAAAGATAAAATTGTCTTGGGGCAAACTTGTGTCGCTAATTATGGATCAATTGTCCGCTGTTTTTTGCATATGTGGCCTAGCCCACAACTCTACATTTATTGTTTGTGCCAATTTGTTACGTGAAAATGAATTCATAATTACGTTGTGTTGCAATGTTCTTTATGTTGTTTTTAATTGTTATTAAATAGTATAAATAATATATGATTATACGCATTTTATGTTCAATATTTTTTTCAAGGTTTATTTTTTGTTACGTATCGATGGATTTCATACTAAAACAATAATATATTAATATTATGTGGCATAATATATATGTAATATTAATTGTTTATAATTTTATTATAAATCAAAAGGTGTAATTTTTTTATTTTGTTTGTAACATCATAGAATACAACATAAAAATACATCGTCTTATGTTAAAATCTTTGTTTGTGATATGATTTTTTCATAATATTATAATCGTTACTAGAATTTTGTAAAGTTACAGTTTTTATCATAACGTTTTTTAATCGTCGTTTTTGAATCATAACTTATGAATTATAATATCTTGGATCATTTTATTTTGTATCATATCATTTTAGATCATATTATTAGAATGATAATATTTTCAACTAAAATAAGTTTTGAATCATAAGAGATTAAGAATCATAACATTTGTTATTCATAATGTTTTATGATCATAAATGTTAAGGATCATAAACTTTTTGAATTATAGCTTTTTTGGATCAAATCTTTTACAAATGTTTATGATTCAAAAGATTTATGATCCAAAAAGTATGTAGTATTTATACATCCAAAATATAAGAGGAATTAAAAGGTTTTGGATCATAACTACGATCCATAACTTAATATGATCAAAAAGTTTTCTGATTATTTATGATGGACAATTCATATAATATGCATCATAAGGTTTGCATCATAATTATTAATAATTGAAATTTAAGTAAGAGGTAAAATTTTATGCAACAAGAAATCTATGGTCCAAAAACTATAATCAAAAAGGTTTTGGATCATGACTACGGTCCATAACTTAATATGATCCAACCGTTTCTGATTACTTATGATGGGTAATTCATATAATATGCATCATAAATGTTTGCATCATAACTATTAATAACTGAAATTTAATTAAGAGGTAAACTTTTATGCCGCAAGAAGTCTATGATCCAAAAACTATGATCAATAATTTCTATGATCCAAAGCGTTTTTATTACGATGGGCAATTTATATAAGACCGATCATCAAAATTAGGATGATAACTATTAATAACTATCGTTTAAGATCCAAAGTTATGATAAAT